TGATTTTTTTATTACTGAGGAAATTGTTAAAATCATACTGTGGCAACCTGAGTGTCGAATTCCTTCGACACTCAGTGTCGAAGGATTTAAAAATGTCGAAGGAAAGTCGAAATTTTAAATTTTTTTTGACCGTTGAAAAAAATCAAAAAATAAAAGTAAACAAATAAAAATTTCAGTCATAATTTAATCAATTTTGATATTTTAAAGTATTTGAAAACATATTTGAGTGATTTATTTTACAAATTTGATATTTTATTATGGATAAGAGTTGTGTTCAGTCATGTAGAAAATCGCGATCGAATAATTTAGCACTCTTTCGTATGCTTGCCTACTGATCCTATGAATGTAAAAAACTGTTAAAAATATGCAAAATTGTTAAAACATGTCTAATTCGTGATTTTACTTTAGATTTCCAAAGTTTATTTTAGCATTAGTATTTCAACGGTTTTTTAGAATTTAAATTTTTAACGGTATTTTTTTTTTCAAATAAAAAATAACGGTCATTTTCGACATTGCCACAGTATGGTTAAAATGATTTGATAATGATTTTTTTATGATTCATAAAAAAGTCGGAAGTGTTTCCTGAACAATTTGTAACGATCCTTTGAATTTTGAACTGAGTGATGCGGAAATTGTAAGATTTTGAAAAAGATTCGAAAGATTTGTGAGGTTTTAAGGTTTTGAGAAAAAAATAAACAAATTATTGTAAATTATGTTGAACTTAATCGTTTTTAGACGTTTTAAGTTCAATAAACCAGTTGAAAACATTCATATGATGACAAAACTATGGAAATCTTTTGCAAGAACCAGATCTAACGTGAGTTTTTACAAAATTTTGATTCATTCACTCAAAAACATTAAGATAATTTTTTTCTTAGCAAATGGGCAATTCTCCAGTTAAGTTTTTCAAAAAATCATCCGAAAAATCAAATTTTCCCGAAAATTTTCCATTACCAAGCATAACTTTTACATTTAAATCGATGTAAAATGGCAAAAACTATTATATTTTATCTATTTAAGTCTTTGAAAGTAGCCAATAATTAAGTTTTTTCAATTTTTTTTTGCAAAATAATTGTCAGCAAAAAATGGAATAATCATAAGGAGAATCGAAAATTGAAGAAAAGTAAACACTCATTTTTTTATTATGATTATGCAGAAATGTAGTTTTTGAGCTAATCTCTCTAACCATAATCAAATCACACTGACAGTAAAAAAATTAAGCTTTTATTTTGCAAATCCATGAAAAAAATGCAAAGCAAATGTTTCATAAAAATTAAATTTTAGTCTTAATTTAACACTTGATGGTTGAATTATTGTTGATTCAGTAAGAATCAATCGCAATAAACAGTTTAAAGTTGCATTAAGCAATCAAAACAAAGAAATTGACAAGATAAAAAAAAAAAATTGAAAGTAAACAGCAAATGACTTTGGATTATAAAAGCTCTTTTTTCAAAAATTCAACTCATCTGGAGAATTGCCCTAATTTCATCGTAAAAAAGAAAAATTCTATAAAAACTTTAAGTTTCAATAAAAGCTCTCAATGCAGGCAGCTCCAAAAGACAATCATCAATAAAACCAGCATTACCAACAAAAAAATTCAACATTCCAAACTATTTTGACATTTATGCTTTTACGCATCATAAAGTTATCATCTTTATGTGCAGCATTAGCCATTCTTCCTTTTTTCAAACTTTTTTAGAGTAGCTGAAAATGTCATCAAATTAACATTTCTATCTTTAAATTAAAAATGAGATAATTTTTTCTAATTCCTAAAATCAACATGAGCCATAATGCTGTTAAATTTTTGCATATGGCCAAAAAAAACTTGAACTAAATTCATATTCAGTTTTTTAAATTAATTAATAGATTCATTTAAATTCAAAAAGGCATCTCTCTAATTTGATTTAATTTTTCCATATTTTTTTATCAGATCAGGAAATTAAGTTTAATATTTTCGACATTTTGTTGGTCAGTTTTAAATTTGGTACCTCTTCGCGCGGCAGGTGAGCAAATAAGATATTTAATAAAATATGTAAATGGTCGCTTTGATGTGCTTAGTGCTTCTTGGAAGTGAGAAATGAATGGGTTAAAAGGTCAAGATTGGAATTAAGATTACTTTTGCGGCAATTTTGAATCGGGCCTATCAAATATTGGATTTTTGACTCTTACTCTCCGTTCCTTAAGAGTTTTTAGAATAAAAATCTTGTGTCAAGCTGGGATGACTCTGACATGGTGCTGGCTTCGATTTAAATCCAGCATAATGCCAGAGTCATACCAGCTTGGTGCCGGATTACTGATCGATTAATCGACTTTTGCGTTTCGGTTTAACAAAATCTGGGAGCCTAAAACATCAAATCAAAACGAATGCAGCTCATTGTAAGTTCAGCTATGCGCTAGGTTTTAGTAAAAACGTCTCAAAAAATGACGAGCTGATTGTCAAATCGATCTAGAACCCATATAGGTCAGCTAGTGTTTAGTTTTGTTATTTGTAGAGACACTGATAGATTTTAGAAGCTAGTAAGTAGCTTTTAACAGATTTTTCATTAAGTTTTGTTTAAAAAAATTCCAATTTTGGAATTCAAATCCACACTCGTGTACAAATCTCTTGACCAAGTCTACAAGAACTACCAAAATCCATCAAATTTTAGCATTCCTATGCAAAAATAGCTGTCCAGTAATCAAACACGAGCTTCATACACAGAGAAACATGTGAATTTCTCAGAACTAAACAATATATGACTGTGATTGTCAAACATAAAAAATGCCACAGGTGCCTGCTAAAATTTCATTCTTAAAACTCTGCGCAAATCTATTCAAATTATCGCCTGACTATGAGAATTAAATTTCAAACCGTGAAAATTGTCTATTTTGCGAATTTTACATCGTGTCGCGAACTTCTTCACTTTTTTTAATGCTTCTCAGACTACTTTATTTTACTACTCACAAGTATACTCAAAAAAAAATTATTTTTTTCCTCTTTTTTTGAAACTCGTGCTCCACTCATACACCAAAAAAAAACATATTCGTAATATTAAGAATAATAATAATAATTCACAAATATGAGCTCATTTAAATACACATATGTGTAGATATGTAGTGAGTCTTATAGTTCAATCATCTTATGTAATATTTAAGTAGTATTTTAAATATTCAATAAAAAAAAAAATACGCACGAGAAGTTCATTACGTGCGAATAATGACGCATTTTTTTGGGAGATGGCGAAAGAAACAGACACACAGAGTTGCATCAGATATTGTGAGAAATAACTTTATTAAATATTTGCAGAGAGAAAAAGAGTCTGTTTTACAATGCATTGACAAATGCGGGAGGTTTCTTGAACTGTCAATAAGCAGAACAATAGAATTAATGAAAAATATTGACTCAAATGATGGAAAGTGAAATTCAAGGTCGAAATTAATCCCCAAATGTCTAGAATTAAGTCCAACAATGATTATTAGGTCCAATTTGTAAGGTTGTATATCTTCAGATAAGAGATTGAGATACTGTTGGTAAACCTGAATGAAGTTATCACTTGATTGTATCATTAAGAAAAATGACATGCAAAAAATTTTTTGCACAGGATGTGAATAAAAAAAGTTGGAAAAAGTCGAAGGTGAGAAATTATGCAAAAATTAATTCTAAAATAGTTGGAAGCTGTTGGCTTCTTGATGCTATAGTTTAAAGTCGATGGTTAGAATTATTGAAATGGAATTGAGGTTTGATATGGTGCTGAAAAATGGATTTAAACCTTTAAAGATAGTAGCGAATAACTCAAGCTAGTAAGTTTGAATTTTTCTTAAAATTTAAGATTTGATGCACTGATTGGAATTTAGGAATTAGAAATAAAGTAAACTTTAATCTTTAATTTTTTGTAAAAGTTTGAAACAAAAAACAAAAGTTTTCAATTTTTCAAATTAAATCAAAACTCAAAATATCAACAATTGATCAAAATTGCTGCAATTTCATAGCCCATTTTAGGAGAAAAATACGCAGGAAGAAGGTTTGGTTGAAAAACCAAAAAATTTATAAATCAAAACGTTATTATGTTAACAAAGATGCAAATTTTAAAGAATCGAAAAAATTGAATTTTTTGGAACTAAAGCTTGAATTTATTTTTTTTATAAAAAAAAATCAATTTATTGCTATTTTTATTTCATAATTTTTTTTTCTCTCGAAAGAAATTATTTTTTGTTTATTTCAAAAGAAACTAAGTGTAAACATTGTTGATTCTTCACAATTTATAAAAATTCCTTTTTGAAATCTTGAAAAATATTGAAAAATTTGTTGAAAGTTTGATAACCGAAATTCTTTTTCTAGGGATTTTAATTTCTTAATTATTAAAATCAGAGTCCTAATAAAGTTTTTTTAAAAAAGAAATTTCAAAAAATTCTGATCTTAGCAAATTGAAAAAAAACGAGAAAATTTAAAAAACTTCTTAATTTATTTTTAAAATTTTGCAAAATTGCAAATTTCCAAAATAACAATTTTTAAAAATTGACAAAATTTTAAAAAAATTGCTATGTTCAAAAATTACAAATCTTTTTAAAAGCAAATTTTGATTTATTTTGAAGTTCGAGCAATTTTTAATTTTAATTTTGAAGTTTTATTTTTTTTGAAATCGAAAATTTTTTTCTCTAAAATTTTCAATTTTTAAACTTTTTTTCCTCTTAAATCTTAAAACCTAAAAGATATTTTTTTAATAATTAAACCTCATAAAAACAATTACTTTTAACAATCAGATTTGTTCCATTTCACTTCTTATATCACTTGAAAATATTAAATATTCAAAAAAACGCACTAGTAAGTATTCAATTGATAGCTTAAAAATGTAAAATCCTAATTTCGCTTCAATTAAACCAAAACAAAAAAAAAGTCACAGAAACAAATACAAACTGTTTCAATTCCAGCACACAAGTCTCTTTAAAAAATCAGATAAATATGAAACAACGAACAATGAAATTATAAAAAAAACACTAAAATATGAAAAAAAATTAATAACCTTTTATCAGATGATTTCTTTGCAATGTATGAATAAATAATCTTCCGTCTGCTCGAACACTGCTGTGCGACGCGATGTTTCGTTCTGCTTTCATTCAAATGTAAACAAAAAGCTCCTGAATCCAAAAATAATTTTTCTCGTTGCTATAAGAATTTGCGATACATGAAATGCTGTTAAAAATAGTTTTTTTTTCTCTACACAGTATTTTCTTTTATCGATTTACACTTCAACTTAATTAATCTTTTTTTTCTCTTTCACAATATTTTTCCATATCGTCGCGCGAAAAAAAAACAAAAAATCCAAACTTTGCAGCACCAAAAAAAACTCTTTTTTTATTTTATTTTAATTGTTTTCTATGTGAAAAAAAGAGTCCAGAACACTCAAAACTATATTAAGTAATGTTTCAAAATTCGTAGAATTTATTTCCACTTTCGATTTCATTCGAGCACGAGAAGAAAAAACCACTACACTCAATTTTATTTAGCAGAAAGAAGAAAAAAAAATCCGAGATTCGCTTGTGTAAGGAGAAACAACACAAAATTTTATAATTTTTTTTTTGCATCCAGAGTTATCGACAATTCTCAATTCCAGATTCTGAATTTTTTCCTCCTTTTCTTGATAGCTTCGCTTTTTTAAAAATTAAACTAGAAGTTTTTTTTAACACAATTTCAAAATATTCGACAATATTTAATTAATGAAATTTTTGTTATTTCAACACTATTTTTTAAAATTTTTTAAATTTATTTACTTTTTTAAAATTCAGCACACACAAAAAATTATTCTTCTTATTTTCACAAGACACAAGAAAGAAAAAAAAATAAAAAATATAATTTTTTTTTGAAGCGCGGACGAGAAATCTTTATGAAGATCAATTCGACTCAACGCTCGCAACAGTTCTGAATTGTTCGAATGAAATTCAGTCAACGACAAAGCATTTTTGTGGCAGAGCATGAAGCATATATGAAACGTTGAGAGTATCAATTGAGAGCTTTTTTTTACATTTGCTGAGAGTTGAGTGGATTGATGATTTTTTTGTTCGTGAGACCGGCTTAATGTTTTTCTTATCAATTCTCTGATTTGTGAGTGATTTATTATTTGATTTACTGTCATTTCTCACACATTGCTTAGTGTTGGCTATTTAGTTGTGATTTCAATTTAAATCTTGTCAATTTTAATGATTTTTAGTGTTTAACAATTGAATTTAATGATTTTGAGTCTCTCGTGTTGATAAGTTGCTGTACTAGATTCTTTTAAGAGAGTGAAATGTTTTTTTAATTCTTCTTCCTGATCTTCATCATTGCTGTTCCACATTCTGTATAGGTGAAATTTTTGTGCTTCTCACGTCAGGTGAATTTTTTTTTCTCTTTCTAATTTTAACAAAATTACTCGAGTTTATTTTAATTTTTTTTTGCAATAGCGGAAATTCCTTCTTGAATTTGTCATTGACTGAGTTTTTTGCAATTTTCTTTAAAATTTTCAATTTTTTAATTTCCAACCCCAAAATTTACATCTTTTCCAATTAATTATGCAAAAATAATTCAATTCTAAATTTGCATTAGAAATCTTAAAATTTCGTCACTCAGAAAACCCACAAAAATCTTCCAACGGTCGAAAAAAATTCAAACAAAAAAAGTAGATCAAAAGAGCTTTTTCAAATTCAAATTCCAGAAAACCGTTAAAAAAATTTCAACAACTAATCTCATTAAATTCATTTCCTAAGATTCAAAATGAAAATTAATCAGTGAGAAAAACTTGAAGATGAAGAAGAAAAGTTTTCTATTGCAATTTTTCAATTCATTTGCTAACTGAATACGTATTGATGTAATTTATTCGAACGATACTCTGTATTTTTACACTTCAGTAAGGAATTAAATGATTTTGTAAAGTTGAAATTGTTGAAATGTTGCTTATTGATTTTTAGAAAATATGTATATATTGAGATGCATTCTTATGTCTTACATTGTAAGGTAATATGGAAAAGAGATAATGTGTGTCATGGAGACTAGGTTGTGATGTGCTGTGAAGGAATATGAAAGTTGCTATGGAGGTTTGAGGCAGTCTTGACCATTTCCATGCGAATGAAATTCGATTTAAAATTTTTAGACTCCTATCTTAAGAGTTATGACTCCATCTTGAGGTTATAGATAACCTTGATGAGTTTGGAACTTTATCGAACTTGAACCTCGGTTAACAGTTTAAACCCCCCTTTTAAGATATTAGACTCCTTTTTAAAAAATTTGAATCGACATAAAACTCTTCATTCCTCAAATATCCCCACAAAAACCATCTCATTCACATATTTCATCAAAAAATATCAAGAAAATGTCACACAGACACAATCCTGCAGAGATGATTGATATCAAATTACAAAAGTCTCATAAAATCATCTTACATGACCTTTATCTTTATCAGACCTTCAACATTATGCCTTTAACTAGTTTACTCTTTTCATTTCTGGGTGAAATTCAGATAATTAAAGTGTATGAGAGTTTTTGAAGTGTGAATTGTGGTGTCGTAAAATATTTTCATTCCTACTATCTCCTGTAGAACAGTAAGGAAGCTAGCCATTCGGAAGAAAAATGCCAAACCTCTTGTTTTTCAATAAATTTTTATTGGGTTTGGAACATTTTCTCAAACTAATCAAGCATAAAAAATTAAATGAATATTTTTGAATGGAGCTCTGTTGTGTTGAAGGTAGGATTATTAGAAAATTGGCAGCATATAGGATTTAACCCTACATTACATTCTATTCTATTCTAGGGTTTAGCAGAATCATTGAACTATGAGAGGCTGCTAAGAAGCTTGACAGAATGGCAATTCAAACTATTTTCTGTTTTTAACAGTATCTTTGATATTATCATTGATGCTGCTTTACTTGATCTTCCAAGATCAGTGATGTCCAGCCCATGAACCGTGAAAAAATTTGGTAAATTCCACGAACCATTTGCCGTGTGGGGTTTTGTTCATGGCTTGCCATCAACGTGTGTCTTGGCATAAAAAAGGTTGTCCACAACTGTTCTAGATAAATATTAAATTGTAAAGACTGTCTCAATCAGTTAAAGAAGGAGTAATAGTAAGTTTATCTCGAAAATCAAACCTTAACTCTAATAAATTTCAATCATCACATCTCAAACAATGATAAAGCTCATCTCCTTCCACATTTAATGCTATTGATGAAAACAAAAGCACAAAAAAATCTTTTTCTTTTTAGTTTCCAACTACTGTAAATCAATGAACTGAAAATTGTTTCCGAATAATCGTTATGGAGCGGAAAATAGATGATTAATTGGATGTACTTACAGCATCATATTGTTTACACACAGATAGCCTTTTTTCACTGCAGTAAATAAAGAAAAAGTTTTTTTTGGCAAATATTTTGATTTAACATTAAGTGGATGAGGAACATGTGGAGGTTATAAGTTATGGATGTCCGTAGATGATTGATGCATCAAAATTCTTACTCAAGAGCCGTTTTGTGTAGGAAATATTTTTATGTTATTTGTGTTTTGACCGAGTTTTGTGATGTTCTTGACTTCTTGTTCCGAAAGTGGTTAACTTGATGTTTGAATGTTTGGAAAGGAAGAAGAAGGATGTTGAATAAGTGAGGATGAATGATTTTGAGATGTAAATTTGGATTTTGATGATTATTTTGGAATATTAGTTGAATAATATTGAAGTTGTTAAAGGCAGAGTTCGAAATTTAGAACAATGTAAGTTTAATTGAACCAACGCCAACATGGACTCTTGTTTCAACAGATTCTGCATCTATATAGTTTCATAACAAAGATTAAGCTCTACACTAGCAATAAAGACAGTATTAACAACATTATTACATCTATAATCCGCTCCTAAAACTAGTTTGGCACTTTCAAACTCACAGAAAAATACAAGACTAGCTTCACATCCACAATTCTAATCCTTACAAAGAACAGACTCGATAACTTACCATAAACGAATGCTTAATAACTCGGAAATTCATTTCATTCATTTACACCCAATATTTAGATGAAATTTTGTGTGAATATCTGAGGTTTTGCTTCCCCTCACACCCAGCTATCCACTGAAAAATTTTCAACACCCACAAGAAGCATGTCAGCAAAAATTTCATACATATTAACTTTAACATACAATTTTGTAACTCAACGTCCATACAATCAATCATTTGACCAAATTCATCTCGGTCATCACTTTTTCTGACAATTTTCCTTTATATTGCGCATTTCAATTTCCCTAATACCAAACCGCACCACAGGCAAGTCAAGTGAGTAGTAGGAATTGGACAGCAACATTTCTCCACATGTCAGTGTGATAAATTGTAAGACTAGAGTGGAAATATTCCATTCCATTCGATACAGTAATATAATTTCTAAAAAAAATATAGTTTATTACTATAACTGAATGGATTCCTTTTTTATGTGCTGGCAATGAGTGAGAATGTGTCACATATACATAAAAAAAAGTCTTTAAATTTTCCCTTTTTTCCGCAAGTAATTTCATTCCATTATTTTTATAACAGAGACACACAGATGAGGGAGACGAGATAAGAATGCAGCACCATAATAAATCGCAAGAACAGAGAATCCCCCACTGTTCACAATTTAAAATAAAAAAATAAATGAAGGAGGTGATGGAGATGGTGAGAAGAGGAAGAAAGAAAGCACTTTTGTCTTTGTCCTTTTTCATAGTAATCAAAATAATCAAGTAAAGATAGAGCAGATGCCTGTAAAGTGCCCTATTTTTCATTCAGCTGTAATTCATTCAACGGTGAAAGTGGGGCAACTCAATGATATTCATGAGTTGAGTTCTTCTTAGTGAAGCTTTGTCATTGAAGGGTAAAAGACGTGTTGTTTTTGGATTGATAAGGTGCCGGTGGATTCTAAATTGTGGTTTAATTTTGACATTTAAGGAAAGCTTTTTATTTCTTCGAACTTTGAGTTTTGAGAGTTTTTGGACAAGATTCAGAAGATTTGAACTGATTGGAACAGTATTTTAAGGCATTTGAATCTAATTTGAACATTTCGGGTTGGTTTTGATGCTGTTCGGAGATTTTTGTCTAGTTTTGATGTTGTTTGACGATTCGTGGCAAGTTTTGGACAGTTTTAAATAATTTTCGCCTAGACTTGAACCTTTTCAATATCTTTAAGCTGGTTTTGGAATAGTTAAAATCGATCCAATTGCCAAGCTCGGAAATTAGGCGGTATCTAGTAGTTTTTCATATAGTTTACGAGCCTGGTCCAATTGTATATGAACTAGTTCAATACTTAAAAGTTAAGAATTGTT